GCGGTTAAACCCACTAGGAGTGGCCGAACCCCTCCCTTATTTTTCTAGGATTATGGTTTAATTTTTCAGATAGTTTTTCTAAGTCTTTGGAATAATTTGTTTGGTTTGGTTTGTTTTGAATTATGGATAATTATTTTTATGGATATTATTTCTTGATTGATTATTTGAATGATTGGAATTATATTTATGAATGTGACCGATTCAATTAATTTACTTTTAGGTATGACTAGTGGGGAAATTAGTTGTCTGGTTGATAGTGCTACCACACACACCATCTTGTGTGGGCGACATTATTTCACTAACTTCATACCTAAAAAAGCACTTATGAGAACCCTCTTAGGCTCATCCAACCTGTTTGAAGGATACAGAAAGACTTGCATAATGTTGTCTAATAGTAATGTCTTAACTATTAAAGAGACCCTCTACTCTCCATGTTCTGGAAGAATGTTACTAAGTTTTCGAGATAGTAAATATCATATTGAAACCACTGAAGAAAATGGTTCTGAATTTCTTTGCATCTTTTCTTACGAGTATGGCCAGAAGCGTATTCATGAGAAGTTGGAATGTCTTTCGAATGGGTTGTTCATCACAACCATTCGCGGCATAGAGACCTACCATGTGGCCGACCCTTTGCCTGGATTCTAGAACACTTTGCTAATTTAGCATGACCGTATGGGACATCCCGGACGTGACATGATGTGTCGTATCCTCAAATCATCACATGGGCATCATTTACCTCCCTACATTGGATTCTCGCCTTGCAAAGCTTGTTTTTTAAGGAAGTTGAATACTTAACCCTCATGTACAAAGATTATTCACAACCCTCGTAAGTTTCTTCAGAGGATTCAAGGGGATATTTGTGGACCTATCCAACCAACATGCGGACCATTTAGATATTTTATGGTTTTGGTTGATGCATCGACACGTTGGTCACATATCTGTTTACTGTCCACACACAACATTGCATCTGTGAAACTCCTAGCTCAAATTGTTAAGCTTACGGCTCACCACCTTGATTATCTGATTAAGTCGATTCGACTGGATAATGCTGGAGAGTTTACATCGCAGACCTTTGACGATTATTGCATGTCACTTAGGATTGAAGTTGAATATCATGTACACTATGTTCACACCCAAAATGGCTTGGTAGAAGCTTTCATAAAGCGCCTCAATTGAGAGCTTGGACTTTAGTTATGCGAACCAAATTGTCGGTATCTGCCTAGGGCTATATGCAATATTGCACACAACCATGTTAGGTCGCATGAGGCCCACCGCTACCCAACCTCATTCACCATTACAGTTGGTTACTAGATACTAGCCTCATGTCTCGCATTTACGTGTGTTTAGATGCGTAATTTTTTTGCCAATAGCGTTGCCACTACGTACCAAAATGGATCCTCAGAGAAGAATGGGAATCTATGTCGGTTATGATTCACCATCAATTATTCACTAATTAGAGCCTGTGATAGGAGATCTCTTTACCTCACATTTTATGGATTGTCACTTCGATAAGATAGTCTTCCCGTCGTTAAAAGGAGATAAGTATGCCACAAATTGTCATGGTATGCTCCCACTATGTCTCATTTAGATCCCATCACTACCTAGTCTGAAATTGAAGTGTGTCATATTCTGGATCTTCAGAGCATTGCTTAAAGTATGCCGGATACACCGTAACATTGCCCTGGAAGGATGAACAGTCCCTGAAGGAGGGGCGCCTCACCTCCTACGCGGCTTGGTAAACTAGCGGCTAGCAAAACTTTTGGTCCTACCTTGAAGTGTGGTAGACCCTCTGGTTCAAAGGATTCATAACCCCGAAAGAGGAAAATAGCATAAACTAATGAACCTAGTCTGAATCCGACCATCACTTACTCATCTATTCCAACGTATGAGGTTATTCTAGATTACGATGATGTCTTAGGTGAGAGAAACTAGCCTCCCGAGAATCGTGAGATTTTGGTCCATTATGCAGTATTGAATGATGTTTAGAATCGGAATGAGATAATCGTCGATGATGAATTTGCGTACATAGTAGCTATTGACATCATGCTTAATAATGACATTGAACCACGTTCCGTTGATGAATGTCGACGTATAACTGACTAGTCAAATTGGAAACAAACAATCTAGATTGAACTCGATTTGCTTGCTAAACGTAAGATGTTTGCGCCTGTAGCTCCTACTTCACCACATGTGAAGACCGTGGGCTACAAGTGGGTTTTCGTGAGGAAACGTAATGAGAAGAATGAAATAGTGCTATACAAAGCATGCCTCATAGCGCAAGGTTTCTCTCAACACTCTGGGATTGATTACGAGGAGACGTATTCCCTTACAATAGACGTCATAACGTTTCGCTACCTTATCAGTTTGGTAGTTTCTGAAAAACTGAATATATAGCTTATGGATGTGGTAATTGCATGTCTATATGAGGATCTTGATACAGAAATCTACATGAAAGTTCCAAAAGCACTTTCATTGATTGGTTCAAATAGTTTTAGACCACGGAACACCCTCTCTATTAGATTGAGAAGATCACTCTACAATTGAAACAATCCGAGCGGATGTGGTATAACCATTTGAGTGAATATTTGACAAGTCAGGGTTATGTGAGCAACAAATTATGCCCATACATGTTCATCAAGAAGTCACATTTTGGATTTGCGATCATTGTAGTTTATGTCGACGACATGAACCTCATCTGTACTCCCGCAGATGTTGAGAAAATTGCCATTCACTTGAAATCAGAATTTGAGATGAAGGATCTTGGGAAAACTCGATATTGTCTCGGCTCGTTCAGACTCTAGATGCTAAACGAGATCTCTTCCATCCCAAGAAGGATGATGAAGAGATTTTGGAGCTTGAAGTTCCATACCTAAGTGCAATTGGTGCTTTATTGTACTTGGCTTAATGCACTAGATCTGACATCTCCTTTGTTGTTAATCTTTTGGCTAGATACAATAATGTGCTTACACGCACACACTGAAATGGGGTTAAAGACATTTTTCGCTACCTTAAGGGTACGATTGATTTGGGCTTATTCTACACCTATGAATCCTTGAAAGGAGTTGCCGTCCCCTCGGTCATTGGGTTGATTCTTGCCTCGTTGGTTACGCAGATGCTAGTTATCTATCTGACCCATATAGGGCATGTTCTCAAACGGGCTAGGTCTTTACCATTAGAGACACTGCAATATCTTGAAGATCTACCAAGCAAACACTAGTTGCGACTTCTTCGAACCATGCTAAGATTGTCGACTTGCATGAAGCCTTGCGTGAGTTTTTTGGTTAAGAGAAGTCATAGAACATATTTGAATCACTAGTGGTCTTACTACTGTTGTTGACCTTCCTACAACGATCTTTGAAAACAATACACCATGTATCGAGCATTTAAAGAAGCGATACATCAAGGAAGACAACACCAAGTACATTGTGCCGAAGTTCTTTTATTCTCACTAGTAACAACATCATCAGAACATTGAAGTCAAGCAAATCCGTTCCTAGGATGATCATACTCCGTTGAGTTCACTACCTTCATCCCGTATGACGTTTGTTTTAGACATTATGCATACTTTTCACTTTTCTCCTTAGTCTATGAGTTTTTACCTACCTTAGGTTTTCCCATAGCAAGGTTTTGTGAATTTAATACCAATGCATACTTTTTTTTAATTTGAGACTTGTATTTGCTCGTTGTGCTGACGACTTCATCAACTGTTCTACCTCACCTATTGAAGACTTGATGCGATATTTTGTTTGAGTATTTACACACTCAATGGGGTGTGTTGCAGTCATATTTAATATAGGAATGTGATTGTGTAAATCCTAGTATATTTGAGATATATATATATATATATATATATATATATAGGAATATTCTCTAGGGTTAGATATTATCCTATTAGAGTTGTAATCCTATTAGGGTAATGAATTAACCTTCCCTACTACAATAAATAAAGACACAATGGGGTGAAATACAATACATCTCACAATCAAATTTCTCTTCTATCTCTTGTTGCCGACCTCCTTTTTTCTATCCCTTAGAGTAGTTTAGTAAATTAGGCCTACAACACCAAGATATTTACGGTAATTTTATATATGGGTATAAAAATCTTTTCCTTTTAAATAAAATTAATGAATGTCAAGAGATGAAATTTGGTGTCACAAAGACGTACTCTGTGTTTTCGTCCTATAGGTAAAGCTCCCTTAAAATATCATTTTGTCAAATAAAATAATTGCTAACACTAGGCACATTTTAAGCGAGATGATAATACAGACGTAGCACAAGACCAAGACCAATAGCTAATTGTAAAGCCAATCGAAATTAAAGGTGTGCAATCCAGTATAGAGAATACCCAAATTAATTATATTATATTACAAATTGTATTGGTAATTATAAGAGTAAATTCCATTTATTAGGTTGAATGCGTCACATGCTGACATTTAAATGCAAATATATTCCATCGTAGCATTTATTTGAAAGATTTCGTTCCCGAACACTTACTATAATAAAAAGAAAAAAATTGTTGTTTCCTCCATTGTTTTCTGCTATTTTTCATGGTTTTACTGCAAAAGGTATGTGTGCGCATGCACGTCTATATACAAGTCTATATACAAGTCTTTTTGGTTTTCTACCCTTTCCAATTTATTTTGTTAAATTTCCTTTCAATTTTGATTGGATTTTGTTTTATAGACAGGACTTTGTTTTTCTAGCGTGATCAAGATATGCAATCCACTCAAAGTTATTATCCTAAGCAAATTAGCTTCCCCAAAGGCCAACGAGTACTCCTAACGAATAATATCTACAACAAAAACTTCTTCAAACCAAAATCAAAGGCAGAAGCCAAAGTAATTGCCGCCAAGAAACACAGTGAGTCAGAGAAAAGGCGAAGGATGAGAATCAACAGTCAATATACCACTCTTCGTGCTATCCTCCCAGACTTAATCAAAGTATATTATTTAATTGATTTGATGGAATTTTGTTTGAATGTGTATGGTGTATTATGGAAAATGTCTCGCAAACTTTCCTCACTTAGAATACTTGACATACAGATGGACAAGGCATCTGTGCTTGGAGAGACAGTCAGGAAAGTAAGGGAGCTTAAAAAGGCGTTAACAGAAGTTGAAGCAGCTTGTCATTGCGGGGACAGGAGGGATGAGTGCGTTTTACCTGGTGGGGTTGACAAGTTAAGTGTCGAACAATGCGAGGGGGAGAAAGGAGGGCTTGTGAAGGCCACATTCAGCTGTGAGGATAGGCTGGGGCTCATTTCGGACATGACAAGGGCACTGAGTTGTGTAAAGGGAAGGGTTGTTAGGGCTGAGATGGTGACAGTCGGTGGAAGGAGTAAAAATGCATTGTGGGTGCAAGGGTTAGGTGGTGGAAATGAAGGGGTGGTGGCGCTGAAGAGAGCACTGAAGGTGGTTATTGATCGCCCTGTTTTGCCAAGGAATATTATCTGAGGAGATTGGATGGCCCTTCTGTAAGACTCTGTGCTAACCCTACCCAAAAGGACGCTTGGACAGCCATAGTTGTGTTCATAGGGTACCGAAATTTATTTATCTTTGATTGATTTCTTATTACTTCATCATTAATAGGAATCGATCGTCTGATCTACCTATTTCTATTTTGTGGATCTTATTCACAAAACAAATCAATAAAGATCAAGTTACAAAACTTGTTCATCCATGTCAAGTAAAGAAGCGACACCCCTTCAGGTTGGAGGGGGGATTGTGCCATGCGACCTAGACATCAACTAAATCACGAATATCGATCTTCATAGAATTTTCGGTAGATAATCTGGTTGGAAAGAGAGATCACACGAAACCTAGATTACATAGCTATCCACAGTACCATAGTGTAATGGCACATATATGTAGCTTATCTGTACATGAAAGTTCTCTGAAGATCTATGTCCACATTTTCTCAAGGGAGTGGACACATCCTTGTTCATTCCATATGGTAGCTTTAATGAAATGATTAAACATTACAAGCTTTAAATAAGGCATTCCGAATGAAGTCCGGAGAATCCCAAAAAAAAAACAGAAATCGTCCGTAAAAATTAAGGCCATCTTAACTAGTCTATGCGCTGAGATACAAGAGTTTCAGAGGGCCTGCAGATAGGTTGCGATATCCTCACTGATAGGGCTTAGCAGCGAAGAGTCAACCCTTGAGTCTTCAATGGCATTCAGCAGTTGTACCGAGTCAGATTCAAGCCAAAGTTGTGGGAAATTAAGGCCTACAGCAAGTCGCATTCCTTCACGGGCTGCCAGAAATTCCGCCATGGCTGGGCTAGAGACATAGGGAAATCAACGAACAAACCCGCAAAGAAAATCACCGGCCTGATTACGGAAGATACCACCAAGGCAGCCCGTAAGAATGGACACATCCCTTTTATGTATCGTTCAATTATTCGAACCATTTCTTTAAATCTAAATTCTGTGGATACATCCATTTTATGTTGTATATGCTGAAAAAATTAGCGTACACAATTGTAGATATAAGTGTAGGAGAGACAAAACAAGTAAAATAAATTACTTGTATTACACTTGTTGAAATCGTATAATGTTACATCCCACATCGTCCAGGGGAGTGGATCATCTATGCCTTATATGTACATACCTATCTCTACCTAGCACGAGACCTTTTGGGGACTCACTGGCTTCGGGTTCCATCAGAACTTCAAAGTTAAGTGAGTTTGTGCGAGAGCATTCCCAGGATGGGTGACCCATTGAGAAGTTCTCATGTGAGTTCCCAGAAACAAAACCATGATGGCGTGGTCGTGCTACGGCGGAGTCGAGCTCGGGATGTGGTGGGGGCCCGGGTCAGGGTGTGACATATCAGCCATGTAGTTTGTAGGTTGATTTACAGATAAACATTAAAGCTAGATCCTACATTTTAGAGAGCAAGGAAACATCTCTAGCCATTCAGGCCATTAGAGACCACGATCTGTCCACTTGGGAGAGGATCAAATGTGGGAGAGGATCAAATGACACAGTACAATCCAAAAAGATAAGAATAACAGCTGTGTTACTTACTAAAAATTAGAAACGAAAACTAGCTGCTGCAGATTTAAGTCTAACGACTATTTCTAAAAATAGCAAGTTCTTCACATCCTTCAATTTCAGTTTTCTCTTCAATGTTCTTCTTCAGGATCATCATCTATAGGTTTAATCTTAGGCCTGTGAGAAGCTTAACTCTCAACAGCCTCTCCTAAGGTACTCACTAGCTTTACACCAAGCCTTAACCTTAATTGATTAAATCTTTGATTTGGTAATGCTTTTGTAAATATGTCTGCAAGTTGTTCTTCACTTTTGCAGAACTTCAAATCAATCACATTCTCTTGTAGAGCTTCCTTTATAAAATGGTACCTCCTGTTTATTTGTCTAGTTTTCTGATGAAAAACAGGATTCTTAACCATGGAAATAGTTGACATATTGTCATAGAATAAGGGGGTTGCCTCATTTTTCATTTCTCCAAAATCATCAAGGACAAATCTTAACCAAATTGACTGTGCTGTTGCTTCTGATGCGAAGACATACTCAGCTTTAGGAGTTGATTGTGCAACTGTATTTTGTTTCACAGATGCCCAAGAAAATACCCCACTGCCAAAGCTAAATGTGTAACTTGAGGTGCTTCTACTATCATCTTCAATTCCTGGCCAATATACATCACAGAAACCAATGAGAATTGCAAACTTGTCTTTCACATACTCAATGCCATAATTGAGAGTCCCTTGCACATCTCAATACTCTTCTTGCAACTCCCAGCTGTTTCTTTATAGGGATATTCATGAACTTGGATAACAGACTTGCAACATACATTAAGTCAGGCCTAGTTGCAGTTAAATATAGCAGGTTTCCCACTATTCTTCTGTAAAGACCTTCGTTAGCCAATTCACTTCCATCCACTTTCTTAAGTTTTTCACCTGTAGGTAATGGAATAGATACTTGTTTGCAATCTTCAAGCCCAAAGTAGTGATTTGGCATACTTACTTTGGTGTATAAATACTCCTTTATCAGTTTGTAGTATCCCTATGCCTAAGAAGTGATGTAAGAGACCAAGATCAGACATTTCATATCTTTGCATCATCTCTCTTTTGAACTCACTGTATTTTCTCACTATTGCCAGTATAAACAATGTCATCAACATATATTGAGACAATTATCAGATCTTGTATACAATGTGGCTTCACTTATGCTCCTTTTGAACTTACATAAAGAGAGATATGCATCAATCTCACTGTACCAAGCTTTAGGTGCCTGTTTAAGTCCATATAGAGCCTTCCTTAACTTGTTGACCTTGTGATTTGCATTTTTCAACTCAAACCCCTTAGGCTGCTCAACATACACTTCTTCATTTAGCACACCATTTAGGAGTGTTGACTTAACATCCAATTGAATCCAACCCTTTTGTGCTGCTAGGGCAATGAGAATTGCCAAGCTATATCACTTGCTACTTTTTGATAGTTCTCTGGTTCTATAATACACATGTGGCATCTTGTGTATATATCCCATACACTCTATAGCCTTTTTCACAACTTCCATGTCCTATAAAGATAGTACAATCTTCTTGGACTGCAGATCATATACTCTATAGCCTTTTTCACAACTTCCATATCCCATAAAGATTCATTTTCTAGCTCTCTCATCAAATTTGTGTCTCAGTGGTGATGGAACATGAATATAACGGATACAACCAAATACTTTAAGATGCTTAATTCTAGGCTTCCTACCTGTGAAAGCTTCAAAAGGTGTTTTGTCTATCACAGATGTTGTAAAGCATCTATTTTGCAAATACATTGCAGTACACACAGTTTCTGCCCCAAAAATCATAGGAATTCCTTTCTCAGCCATCATAGACCTTGCCGTCTCAGCAATTGTTTTGTTTCTTCTCTCAGTAACTCCATTTTTTTTAGGAAAGTAAGCAATAGTCAGTTGTCTCTCCATTCCCATTCTTGCACAGTAGTCCAGAAACTCATGTGAGGTGTATTCACCTCCCCTGTCACTCCTTATATTCTTCAAACTGAAACCACTTTGTAATTTTACAAAGGCTTTAAACTTCTTGTACACATTGAAGGTATCAGATTTGTCTCTGAGAAAGTATACCTAACACATTCTTGAGAAATCATCAATGAATGTGATGAAGTACCTATTTCCACCAATGGACTCATTTTGCATTGGTTCACATACATCTGTATGTACCAATTCAAGTGGATAGCTTGCTTTCCACACTGTTTCCTTGCCAAATGGTTCTCTATGATGTTTCCTGGATACACAACCTTCACACACATCTTTCATTTATGTTAATTTAGGTAATCCAAGTACCATCTCCTTCTGCTGCATCTTCTTCATACTACCAAAGCTCAACTGCCCAAGTCTTCTATGCCAAACCTAAGAGTCTTTAATCACAGATGCTTTTCTTGCTGCAAAAGTTATAGATTTTAGTGAAAGAGGAAAACATCTATTTCCTGCCATTAACACTTTTGCCACAACATTTTCAAGGTTGTTATCATAAAAGATTATTGCCATATTACCTCTAAATAGCACATAATACCCATGTTCCATCATTTGACATATACTTAGTAGGTTTTCATCCAAACCTGGAACCAGCAACACATCATTTATATACCTTTTTCCATGCTGAGTTTCAATCACTAGAGTGCCTTTCTCAGTAGCTTGTACAAGATCTCCAGTGCCTATTTTTACCTTACATGTCACTGTTCTATCAAGGTTTATCAAAACAGATTCCTAAGAAGTCATATGGTTACTGCAGGCACTATCCACAAACCATACAGATCTATCTTGTGTAATTGAAACTGAGTGACAAGCATAGAGCATGGTTCATGTGGTCACTTTTTCTTCTTTTGCATAGTTTGCCACTTGCTTGTGATTATCATAATCCTTTGCAACATGACCAAACCGGTTACACTTTCCACACTTGGCTTTTCCTTTGTGGATCAAACACCAAAATGATACTTCTCACAAACTTGGCATTGTGGTTTCACACCACTTTGACTACTACTCCCTTGCTTGTTATGAGAGTTGAACTTGTTGTTCCAATTTCCTCCATATCTGTTGTTCCAATTTGTGCCATTATTTTTGTTCCAGTTTGCATTTTAAGACCAATTCTTCCTTTTTCTTATATGACCCTGCCACTTCAGGTTTTGCTTGTTCTGTGACCTTTGTAAGCTTCAGTGACATTATTGTTACCAATCTTGAGAGTACTAAAGGCTCTCTTAGTACCTATTAACTTGTCCCTCTCATAAGGCAAATCTTCTCTCTTACCATAGACTTTAAGAGATGCCATAACTCCTTCAATTCTAATTATGTCAAGGTCTCTAGTTTCCTCTATAATTGACACAATAGACTTATACCTTCTACTTAAACTCATCAATAGTTTTTGCACAATTCTTTCTCAGGTACATCTTCACCAAGTGATTTTAACTTATTCAAAATTTCAA